GGTGAAAAATAAATAAGAATTGATTTATTTATTTGGTCTGTTATATAAATTGATAATGTACTTTTATATGTACAATATTAAAATAGCTGTGAACAAAGACGAATAAGAACTTAAAAATGATCAAAACGTCCGAGTATTTTAAGAACGAATTTTTCAACTTTCTTTTCAACCTCCAAATTTTTGATTGAGTTTCTAAGACCAATAATTTTACCAATTGTGTGTGCCTTTATGTTTTCAAAGGTCGAATCTTGATATCCAAATGTGTATAAATGCTTTGCGACCAAAGATGTAACACATGTGCTGTACATTTCCAAATTCACAACAATTCCCAATTCAAGTTTCTCGAAATTCATATTTAAAAAAATTGCTTCCTCTACATTTCCAAGTGTTAGTGATACCTTTGTGTTATTACTAAATTCTGGTTGCCTCAAATCAAATGATTTAATTTCGAAGAAGGACAAGTCGGCATTTCCAACATATCTACTGATACTCATGCGTTTTAAAATACCATTGTAATTCACTTCTTTAGCAACAAATTCACACTTCACATCTGATTCATCACTCTCAACGATAAAATCAAAGGGGTCATAATTAGAAACACTAAAACTTTGTATAACATCACAATTTAACACCATTTTATCAGTAATTTCAACACTACTTGGACTTGTTTTGTGAACGAAAGAAACACATGTTTTCTGCGTATCAGTTAATGAAAAATCATTCAATACAGTGTTGTTGATGGCAAGCGTCCTTCCGTTGTAATTTTTAATAACAAGCATTTCTAAAACACAGTCGTCCAAATACACATCACCATACACGTTTTCATGTTACTTGTTTGACACTTTGGTGTAACACAATTTTCTCAACAATAACATTGAACATGGAAATTGTACGAATGGTTGTGGTCTCAAAATTCAAAATTTGTCTGTGATGTGACATTTTTCTTAGATATCCTCTTTGAGTAGTTTGAATGTCATCATTGTTGTAATTTTTTAGAACAACATTATTGAGTAAACACTTGTTGATAACTTCGGTGACTGCAACATCACATTTATCGCAATATGAATCTACCAGAATTTGGTCGCGGTTTAATACATCACGAGAAAAATGTTTATCATTTTCATCAAAATCAGAGAAATGTGTAACAAATACATTATAAAAACTATTTTGTAGAACACCTATTGGGATGAAATCGAAAAAATTAGTATAAATGGCACTATAAATTTTGACATTTCTATACTGCAATTTCTTTTGTGTCACTTTAGAATTTTCTTTTATATCATCCAGATCCATTTCGATTACAATAAAGACGTAATCTGTTAATGGGTGTTTCGAATAATCGAACTTGGAAAAAACCTCAAGTTGACTTGCATAAATTGTCAAAATGACTCTTCTCAAAGTCCTGTGACCAATCATTTCGAAAAGTCGATCGTTTGAATTTGCCGTGAACATTGAAAGGTCAACAAATAGATCTTGGAGATTCTGAAACATCTCTACGTCGCTTGTTAAGCAGTCCAAGTTGTAAAATTTGATTCGAAGTTTTCTGATCTTTTCAATGATGTTTTTTTTATTGAATTGTATAAACAGAAAAGTTTTTGAACACGACAAAAAGTCGATTTCAAGGTGTGTCACGTCTGTCTGCAATTTTCTGTTTTTGGTGATCAAGTCTGTCAAATATAATGTTTGAAGCGCTGGAAACAATTTCTGTATTTTTTCCACAGAATTGTAATATGACAATTTGTATGGATTAATATACATCGAGTCGACAACATCTTTGTACTTTTTGTTCATACAAATGAATGATATTATATCACTCGTATTTGTCATATAAAGAACAACATTTTTGAGGTACACCAATTCCAATTGAGTCATATATTAAACAGATGTTATTTGTTATATTATATATACTAGTTTGTTTTTTGAATAAAATAAATCATTTAATCGTATTTTTTTTAGAAATGAGGTTTAATTTCAATAATTATTTTATTTAAACAAAGCAGTTTATTATTTATTTTGCTTGATTATCACTTTAAATAACATTAAACAAAAATTAAATAAACTAAAATTCGAAATCTCGAGTTTATTTAATAAATTTCCAGTTTTTGAAGTAGTTATTATTTGCATTACATTACACAAGTTAAAAGGGGAAAATCATTTGAAATTGAATTAATATCCCAGTAATAACAGGCTAAACAAAAAACAAAGCGTTATTTAAAGTGTTAAGAATTGTTATGTTTATAAATATAAGTGTTTGTATCATCATATCAAGGTTCCCTATTTTTTTAGTCTGTCAAAAAAACTCCAATTGGAACTAGCAATACATTTAGGGTCTCTTAAACCCTCCGATATTTATCCTGATTTCATTCTGCCTTAGGAAAATTTCATTTTAATCAAAAAAAAATGAATTAATATTATAAGCATTCGACCTAATTTGTTGGGAATATTTTTGGTTTATATTTCGTGAATATCTTTAAAACAAACGGGAATTAATTATTGTTTATTATGATGGATATGTCGAGAAAGTTTCTACAAAATCGGGCATTTTATTTAGAAACGTTTATAAATCAAAAACAGTTATAGAACAAAAAAATAAATTTACTCTTAATAAAATTAATCAACCAAATATATAACTTAAAATATCAATAAAAATAGTTAAAAGACATACATATTGAAATGTTGTATATTTACCCAAAAATGATAGGTAATAAATACTTCATTTATCGGGATCGATAACATTTCAATAACATAAATATAAATACTAAAAAAATAACAATTCAAAAAACATAATATCCAAAATATCAAAACATATTTTTAAAATGGCAATTTTTAAAATACCATTTGAATTACAAAATATAATTTATATCAAAGACCTTTAAAAACCAAATATAACAAATCACAACACATTAAAACTATCCAAAGATGACAAATAAATCAAAACATGTCTAAAATTTACAACAATAATTGTCAAAACGTAATACACACAACACAAATTATAACAAAATCAACTTTGCCATGAAACAAAACAAAGAAAACAATCATAATTTCCTCACGCCAAAAAAATTAAAAACGTTCGTGAGTAAAAATATTTCAGTCTTTTTGTGATCAATTTTGTATAAATTTGAACTGTTTTGGTTTTTTTGATTGCAACAAACCGATTTGACCAATAAATGCTAAAACATCAATTTATATAGTTTGTTTTTTAATAAAATTTACTAACCTTAAAACTATGAATTTTATTAATAAATTTTAACACTTTTACTAAATTAGTTGTATTAAAAAATTATATTATTATAATTATAAACAATTAGAAAATAAACAAATACATTCAAATTGATTTAACTATTTGGTACACAGTTTAACAAAGTCTTTGGAAAATTTGTTTTGCCAGCCTAGCCTAGCCTTGTTTTGTTTGATTCATACTAAATCTACATCCGTCTTTTAGGATCGATTCACCCCATTCCAATTAATGTTGTCTAGGAACCTTTCTCCCTTCGATCCTTGAATGTTTTTTCTTCTAAGTATCTGCTACTTCCACCAAGATCTGTACTCAAGTCTGTT